GAAATCAAACCACAAAAGGAAAAAGAAAAGGGGAAGAAGAGGGAAATACAGAATTAACTGGAAAAAAAGATTTAAAATGGCAATAAATACACATCTATCAAGAATTACCTTAAACATCAATGGACTAAATGCCCCATTCAAAAGACACAGAGTGGGCAGACTGGATAAAAAAACAAAAGCCTACAATATGCTGCCTATAAGAGACCCATTTTAGGGCAAAGGACACACAGATTGAAAGTGAGGGGGTGGAAAAAGATTTCATGCAAACGGAAATGATAAGAAGCAGGGGTCGCAATACTTGTATCAGACAAAATAATAGACTTTAAAACAAAGGCCATAAAACCATAAAAAAAGATAAAGAAGGACACTATATAATGATAAAAGGATCAATACAAAAAGGGGATATTACTCTCATCAACATATATGTACCTAATATAGGAGTGCCTAAATACATAAAACAAATATTAACATACATAAAGGGAGAAACTGACTGGAATACCATAATAGTAGGAGCCCTTAACACCCCACTCACATCAATGGACATATCTTCCTAGACAGAAAATCAATAAGGCATCAGAGATCCTAAATGATACAACAGAACAGTTAGACTTAACTGATATTCTTAGAACATTACATCCAAAAAACCCAGAATACACATTCTTTTCAAGTGCACATGGAACATTCTCTAGGATTGACCACATACTAGAGCACAAAGCAAGCCTCAACAAATTTAAGAGGATAGAAATTATTTCAGGCATCTTTCCTGACCACAACAGCATGAAACTAGAAATCAACCATAGAAAAAGAAAACAATTACATGGAGTCTAAACAACATGCTACTAAAAAACCAATGGGTCAATGATGAAATCAAAGAGGAAATTTAAAAAATATCTTGAGACAGATGACAATGAAAACACAACCGTACATTATCTGTGGGATGCCACAAAAGCAGTTGTTAGAGGGAACTTCATAGCGATACAAGCCTTCCTCAAAAAACTAGAAAAATCTCAAGCAACCTAATCTACCACCTAAAAGAATTAGAAAAAGAACAAACAAAACCTAAAGTCAGCAAAAGGAAGGAAATAATAAACATCAGAGACAAAAAAAATGTAAAATAAAGATTAAAGAAAAACAGATAAAATCAATAAAATCAAGAGCTTGTTCTTTGACAGTGTAAACAAAATTGACAAACCTTTGGCCAGGCTCATCAAGAAGAAAAGAGAGAGAACCTAAATAAACAAAATAAGAAAAAAGGAGAAATAAACAATACTGCAGAAATACAAAACACTGTAAGAGAATATTATGAACAAGTACATGCCAACAAATTTGCCAAACTAGAAGAAATGGACAAGTTTTTCTAGAAACATACAGCCCACCAAAACTGAATCAAGAAGAAATAAATAATCTGAACAGACCAATCACTAGAAATGAAATAGAATCTATAAAAAAAACAAAAACAAAAACCTCCTTACAAACAGAAGTTCAGGACCAGGTGGCTTCACAGGCAAATTCTACCAAACATATAAAGAAGAACTTATACCAATCCTTCTCAAAATCTTCCAAAAGACTGAAAAGGAGGGAACACTCTCAAAGACATTCTATGAAGCCACCATCACCCTGATACCAAAACCAGACAAATATACCACCAAAAAAAAAAATTACAGGCCAATATCTTTGATGAATACAGATGCAAAAAACTACTAGCAAAACCAAATAAAATACTAGCAAAATATTAGCAACCCAAATCCAACAACACATAAAAAAGATCATGCACCACAACCAAGTTGGATTCACCCCAGGATCACAAGTATGGTTCAACAAATGCAAATCACTTAATGTGATACATCACATTAACAAAGAAAAGACAAAAATCACATGATCATCTAAATAGATACAGAAAAGGCATTTGATAAAATTCAACATCCATTCATGATAAAAACTCTTACCAAGGTGGGTAACATAACATAATAAAAGCTATTTATGACAAACCCACAGCCAATATAATACTCAACAGTGAAAAGCTGAAATCCTTCCTGCTAAAATCTGGAACAAGGTTGCCTACTCTCATGACTTCTATTCAACATAGTATTGGAATTCAGACAAGAAAAAGAAACAAAAGGTATCCAAATTGTAAGGGAAGACGTAAAACTGTCATTCTATGCAGATGACATGATACTACATATAGAAAACCCTAAAGAAGTGATAAATTCAGCAAGGTAGCAGGATACAAGATTAACATACAGAAATGGGTTGCATTTTTTTACACTAAAAACACAATATCAGAAAGGGAATGTAAAAAAACAATACCTTTTAAAATCATATAAAAAAAAAACCTTAGGAATAAAGCTGACCAAGGAGGTGAAAGATTTATATGCTGAGAACTATAAAACATTAATAAAGGAAATTGAAGATGATTTAAAGAAATGGAAAGATATCCCAGGCTCTTGGATTAGAAGAATATCATTAAAATGGCCATACTACCCAAAGCAATCTACAGATTTAATGTGATCCCTACCCATGACATTTTTCACAGAACTAGAACAAGTAATCCTAAAACTTATATGGAACCAAAAAAGACCCAGAATTGCCAAAGCAATCCTGAGGAAAAAGAACAAAGCAGGAGGCATAAACCTCCCAGACTTCGGACAATACTACAAAGCTACAGTAATCAAAACAGTGTGGAACTGGCATGAAAACAGACATGTATCAATGGAACAGAAATAGAGAGCCCAGAAATAAACCTACATACCTATGGTCAATCTTGACAAAGGAGACGAGAATATACAATGGAGAAAAGACAATCTCTGCAGCAAGTGGTGTTGAGAATGCTGGACAGCCACATGTAAATCAATGAAGTTAGAACATACCCTCACACCATGCACAAAAATAAACTCAATATGGCTTAAAGACTTAAATATATGACATGACACCATAAAACTCCTAGAAGAGAACATAGGCAAAACATTCTCTGACATAAACCATACTAATGTTTTCTTAGGTCAGTCCCAAGGCAATAGAATAAAAGCAAAAATAAACAAGTGGGACCTAATCAAACTTACAAGCTTTTGCACAGCAAAGGAGACCATAAACAAAACGAAAAGACAAACTACAGAATGGGAGAAAATATTTGCAAACAATGTGACTGATAAGGGCTTGATTTCAGAAAATATACAAACAGCTCATGCAACTCAACAACAATAAAAAAAACCAACCCAATCAAAAAATGGGCGGGAGGGGGGCTTCCCTGGTGGGGCAGTGGTTGAGAATCTGCCTGCCAATGCAGGGGACACGGGTTTGAGCCCTGGTCTGGGAAGATCCCACATGCTGCGGAGCAACTGGGCCCATAAGCCACAATTACTGAGCCTGCGCTTCTGGAACCTGTGCTCCACAATGAGAGGCTGCGATAGTGAGAGGCCCGCACACCGCGATGAAGAGTGGCCCCCGCTTGCCACGGCTGGAGAAGGCCCTCGCGCAGAAAAGAAGACCCAACACAGCCATAAATAAATAAATAAATTAATTTAAAAAAATGGGCAGGAGACCTAAATAGACATTTCTCCAAAGAAGACATACAGATGGCCAACAGGCACATAAAAAGACGTTCAATATCAATAATTATTAGAGAAATGCAAATCAAACCTACAATGAGGTACCACCTCACACATGTCAGAATAGCCATCATTAAGAAGTCTATAAATAACAAGGCTGGAGAGGGTGTGGACAAAAGGGAACCTAACTACACTGTTGGTGGGAATGTAGAACCTAACTACACTGTTGGTGGGAATGTACATTGGGGCAGCCATTATGGAGAACAGTAAGGAGGTTCCTCAGAAAACTAAAAATAGAGTTGCCATATGATCCAGTGGACAAAGCTGGATTTGTCCATATGTGGACAAAGCTATAATTCAAAAAGATACATGCACCCCTGTGTTCATAGAGGCACTGTTCACAATAGCCAAGACATGGAAACACCCTTAATGGCCATCAACAGATGAATGGATAAAGAAGAAATAAGTCACTCACACACACACACACACACACACACAGGAATACTACTCAGCCATAAAAAAGAACAAAATGCCATCTGCAGCACCATGGATAGGCCTAGGCATTATCATACTATGTGTAGTAAGTCAGAAAGAGAACGACAAATACCCTGTGATACCACTTATATGTGGAATCTAAAATATGACACAAATGAACATATCCATGAAACAGAAACAGACTCACTGACACAGAGAACAGACTTGTGGTTGCCAAGTGGGAGGTGGGGTGGGAGAGGGATGGAGTGGGAGTTTGGGGTTAGCAGATGCAATCTATTATATATAGAGTGGATAAACAACAAGGGCCTACTGTATATCACAGGGAACTATATTTAGTATTCTGTGATAAACCATAATGGAAAAGAATACTTAAAAAATGTATATATATGTATAACTTAATCACTTTTCTGCACAGCAGAAATGAACACATTGTAAATCTACTATATTACTTTTTTAAAAGTAAAAAAACAAAACAACTTTGAACCCCAAAAGGACATTTAATAACCTAGATTACTCCTTCACTGACTAGAGACTATCATTGAGAAAGTTTGCTCTTTTTCTTTTAGCCACTGCAACTGCATTTCTCAGACTGCTAAAAGTGTTAACGTGTTCAGGTAAGTTTGGATGACATGACAGAACCATGTATCTCCACACTGAAGAGCCACAATAAACATTAGCACATCAAAGGCTCTGCAAAGTCCTAAACAAATGTCTGATTTTGTTTGACCTAGAGCATTCCTCCTTGAGCACAGAACACCTTTTTTGGCAGCATATTTGGAACATCAGTTGGGAACAATTAAAATTATCAGTTTCTGGGCATTTTTCAACAAAAAGTAGCTTTCTAGATTTTCATCCTAAAATTAGACTGCAAGCTATTTTGCATATCTAAGTTTTATTTTGTCCTTGCTGACTTGGGTAAAGAAGCATTTTGGAAAAACCATTACCAATGAATAGACTTACCTCCTGCTTCTAACTGAACTCCTGGAGTCAAGTGAAGAAATTCTGGTTTCATGCTTACTCGGGAGCCAGAAATAAAACCAACCACAAATTCAGAATGCTCTTCAGCCATTCTCACCTAAATGGAATGTAATAAAAGATTACAAGAAAGCACTTAACCACACAGAATGTAAGAAACTTTATTTCATAGATGCATTTCCTCATTTCATATTAAACTAATTACATCTAAAACGGGTAATCTTAGATATGAATCTACACACTTGCTCCATTAAGACCACCCTGAAATAACACCTTCTGTCCCCTTCTCCTATAACCAAACACTGAAAACACTAAAAATCTTATATTATGTGCATCTAAAATCTAGATGCTGCATCGTTACTTATTTGTAATAATGCTTGGGGACCTACCTACTTCCAAAAAGGATATTAAGTAGTACTCTAGAATACATTTATAATGGTATAAAACCACACTGACTTACTGCCTATCTACATAGATATTCAAGGACAGCCACCACATAAAACACCACTATGTTGTTAAGAGCTAGCTAAAGAAATCTTACCTCTACAGCTTTCCCTCTTCTTTAACATTTGCCAATAACTTGTCTCCACAATTTCTCTACCATTACCTCACATTCATAGAAGCCTCCCTAGAAGGTCTGCCTGACTTTCTAATTTGGCTCTTCCCTGAGGCCCAGACTGTTCCATTCTTGCCACTAAGTACTACCACCAACCAAAAATCAATGTATTGTCCTTGAGCCAGATCCAGAATGCCAAATATTAGCACTGACTCATGGACCCTCTGCTACGAGAGTTGGGAAATCATAGACATTTATGGTCAATTCAGGGGTGCTGTTAAAACCTGGCCCTAGGGCCATATGAATTCTTCACAGTTCCACAGGCTTTGAAATATGAAACATAAATTCCCATGTAAAAATTAAAATTTTATTAAAAATTCCTGTTACTTTAAAAAGTAATAGTCTTTAAAATATCTGCAAAGATAATCCATCCATCTTTCTAGGTGATTATCCAACTATGAACCTTGCCCAGAGGAGACTGTAAAGAGGAGCTTTATAACTAGATGATTATCCATCTCTCATTTTTTTCTGGCATGCAGGGGGTTGGAGCTGGGCACTAACATGTATGGTGTTATAAGGATTTTTAATAATGGGGAGCTACTAAAGGAAACAATGTGTCTGGACTCTAGTTAAGAGCTCTCCCATACAATGCCAATCAATATCAAAGACTGAAAAGGTAAGCTGCTTCATGTGGGCTGCTGTCATGAGAATGTGCATCTGTGTGTGACTCGGGAGATTCCAAGAAACTGCGTATCTGGGAAAAAGCTATTCAATTTCAATTCATGGTGAAAGGGAAAAAACTCCTCTATCTTAAAGACCAGGTAAATACAGACATATGTTTATTTGACCCAATATCTGTGTTTCAATGTTCCTCTCTTAGAGTACAGTTCAAATTTCTTTGGTGTACACTACAAGATATAAAATGCTATTAACCATCAGGATATTCTAGCCAACTAGTATTAATATACTGTCACACAAACAGCAGGTGATTTTTTTTGTTTTTGACAGCAATTCCATAGACCCCAAATTAAGGTATTTTCTTCCCCTGTAACATCTAGTGTCACAGCCCTGGCCTTCTATTGCCCCAATCTCTCTCCTCTGTCACTTACCGCTGCTTCAGTATAGCTCCCAGTGGCCAAGGAGCCAGCAGAGCTCATTTCTGCAATGAGTAAGCACGCCCGGTGCAGGGGCAGGCCTACTTCTCCCAGGCCTTTCACAACTCCTGAGCCTGGAACCACATGAGCGTTTACTAGATCTGCCCAAGAAGCTATTTTAAAGACACCACCTATGAAAAGGGGAAAAAAGATATCTGTCAATTTCCAAACAAAATCCCTTAACTTTTAACCAACCAACCAACTACAATATGGAAATAATCTCCTAGTAACATGTCAATGTAATAGCGAAACACTTCAAGAATTTTAGTGATTATCAATGGACCTACTTGTGAAAAATTTATCTGTCCACCTGGTTAGCTGGTTGAGAAATCACAAGGAGAAAAATATTTTATAAGTTCTACACTTAGTTTACTAGCAAAACTGATAAGACTGTTTTTCCTTGCAGGCTGATGCTTGTGACTACCAATAAGATTTATGCAACTGGAAAGGGTCCAGTGAAGACAGGTTGTTTGTTAAGTGGAAGATATCAACTGAAATTCCTCTAAAGATGACAAATTTTCGTTCTGTAGGGATCTCTCAGAAACTTTACCATCTCTCAAATCTACTTGTTCCTTAGGTCTCTTTAGCTCTTCAAATTTCAATAGACAATTGTATTCATTTTAAAAGCAGACAACAGTAACCCAAGTAGATTTTTGAAAAAAAACTATATGTAAACTTATAGAAGTTTGTATAACTCTTTCAACAGTCAATCTTTTTTTTAGAAGTATTTATTTATTGATTTGGCTGTGCCGGGTCTTACTTGCGGCATGCGGGCTCTTAGTTGCAGCATGCGGGATCTAGTTTCCTGACCAGGGACTGAACCTGGGCCCCATGCATTGGGAGCGCAGTCTTAACCACTGGACCACCAGGGAAGTCCCAACAGTCAATATCTTTAGCACATGAAGAAAGTCATTACAGACAAATCTCTCCTAAAGAAATAGCTTAAGAATATATATGTATTACTTTAAGAAAAATTGTTATCTCAAAAGATGCTTATAACTGTTAAATAACATAAAATGTCTGTTGTAAGGGTAAGTGAAAAAAGAGATACACCCAATATAACAGAAAGTTGCATAGAAGAATGGGTAAAGAACTGGTAAAGAATTAAGCACTTTTTAAACAAATGTATGCTCTTACCTTGAGCTCCTATTTAACAAAATTTTTTAAAAAGGATGCATATCAACAGATCTTTTTCTGCTAAAAATAAATCTTACTTTATACTACCTTTTCCTTGTCTCCTATATCTGCAATTTTCATTCTTTGAATATTCAGAACTCACAGTGTTCTGCAGGGCCAACATCTGTCATTTTTGCCTGCCTAGAACCCATGTCCCTTTCTTCTGGCATAAGCACAGCCATTTTCTTTAGGGAAATAACCCCTAACTATACCTTGGGGTTCAAGAAGTTTACGTAAATAGCCTCACAATGATCAAGGGATCAACCCTAGAAGACGAAGACATAACAACCATAAATATTTATGTACCCAACACAGGAGCACCTCAATACATAAGGCAAATGCTCACAGCCGTGAAAGGGGAAATCGACAGTAACACAATAATAGTGGTGGAATTTAACACCCCACTTACACCAATGGACAGATCATCCAGACAGAAAACTAATAAGGAAACAAAAGCCTTAAATGACACGTTAGACCAGATACACTTAATCGATATTTACAGGACATTCCATCCGAAAGCAGCAGAATATACTTTCTTCTCAAGTGCACACGGAACATTCTCCAGGATAGATCACATCTTGGGTCACAAATCAAGCCTCAGGAGATTTAAGAAATTGAAATCGTATCAAGCAACTTTCCAACCACAACACTACGAGATTAGAAAGCAATTACAGGAAACAAACTGTAAAACACAAACACATGGAGGCTAAGCAATATGCTACTAAATAACCAAGAGATCACTGAAGAAATCAAAAAATATCTAGAAACAAATGACAAAGAAAACACGGCAACCCAAAACCTATGGGATGCAACAAAAGCAGTTCTAAAAGGGAAGTTTACAGCAATACAATCCTACCTCAAGAAACAAGAAAAATCTCAAATAAACAACCTAACCTTATACATAAAGCAACTAGAGAAAGAAGAACAAAAAACCCGCAAAGTTAGTAGAAGGAAAGAAATCATAAAGATCAGAGCAGAAATAAATAGAAGCAAAGAAAACAATAGCAGAGATCAATAAAACTAAAAGCTGGTACTTTGAGAAGATAAACAAAATTGATAAACCTTTAGCCAGACTCATCAAGAAATAAAGAGAGAAGACTCAATAAAATTAGAAATGAAAAAGAAGTTATAACTGACACTGCAGAAATACAAAGGATCATAAGAGACTACTACAAGCAGCTATATGGCAATAAAATGGACAACCTGGAATGGACAAATTCTTAGAAAAGTACAACCTTCCAAGACTGAACCAGGAAGAAATAGAAAATACGAACATACCAATCACAAGTAATGAAATTGAAACTGTGAATAAAAATCTTCCAACAAACGAAAGTCCAGGACCAGATGGCTTCACAGGCGAATTCTAGCAAACATTTAGAGAAGAGCTAACACCGATCCTTCTCCAATTCTTCCAAAAAACTGCAGAGGGAGGAACGCTCCCAAACTCACTGCACGAGGCCACCATCACCCTGATACCAAAAACAGACAGCGATATCACAAAAAAAGAAAATCAGAGGCCAATATCACTGATGAACATAGACGCAAAAATCCTTAACAAAATACTAGCAAACCGAATCCAACACATTAAAAGGATCATACACCATGATCAAGTGGGATTTAAATTCTTCCAAAAAACTGCAGAGGGAGGAACGCTCCCAAACTCACTGCACGAGGCCACCATCACCCTGATACCAAAAACAGACAGCGATATCACAAAAAAAGAAAATCAGAGGCCAATATCACTGATGAACATAGACGCAAAAATCCTTAACAAAATACTAGCAAACCGAATCCAACACATTAAAAGGATCATACACCATGATCAAGTGGGATTTATTCTTCTCAAATTCTTCCAAAAAACTGCAGAGGGAGGAACGCTCCCAAACTCACTGCACGAGGCCACCATCACCCTGATACCAAAAACAGACAGCGATATCACAAAAAAAGAAAATCACAGGCCAATATCACTGATGAACATAGACGCAAAAATCCTTAACAAAATACTAGCAAACCGAATCCAACACATTAAAAGGATCATACACCATGATCAAGTGGGATTTATCCCAGGGATGCAAGGATTCTTCAATATATGCAAATCAATCAATGTGATACACCATATTAACAAATTGAAGAATAAAAGCCACATAATCACCTCAATTGATACAGAAAAAGCTTTCAACAAAATTCAACACCCATTTATGATAAGAACTCTCCAGAAAGTGGGCATAGAGGGAAACTACCTCAACGTAATAAAGGCCATATATGACAAACCCACAGCAACATCATTCTCAATGGTGAAAAACTGAAAGCATTTCCTCTAAGATCAGGAACAAGACAAGGATGTCCACTCTTGCCAGTATTCAACAGTTTTGGAAGTCCTAGCTATGGCAATCAGAGAAGAAAAAGAAATAAAAGGAATCCAAATTGGAAAAGAAGAAATAAAACACTCACTCTTTGCAGATGTTTGCAGATGACATGATACTATACATAGAAAATCCTAAAGATGCCACCAGAAAACTACTAGAGCTAATCAATGAATTTAGTAAAGTCGCAGGATACAAAATTAATACACAGAAATCTCTGGCATTCCTATACACGAACAACGAAAGATCAGAAAGAGAAATTAAGGAAACAATCCCATTTACCATTGCAACAAAAAGAATAAAATACCTAGGAATAAACCTAAGGAGCCAAAAGACATATGTGCAAAAAACTAGAAGATACTAATGAAAGAAATCAAAGACAACAAAAACAGATGGAGAGATATACCATGTTCTTGGATTGGAAGAATCAATATTGTGAAAATGACTATACTACCCAAAGCAATCTACATATTCAATGCAATCCCTATCAAATTACCAATGGCATTTTTCACAGAACTAGAACAGAAAATTTTGCATTTTGTATGGAAACACAAAAGACCCTGAATAACTAAAGCAATCTTGAGAAAGAAAAACAGAGCTGGAGGAATCAGGCTCCCTGACTTCAGACTATAATACAAAGCTACAGTAATCAAGACAGTATGGTACTGGCATCAAAACAGAAATATAGACCAATGGAACAGGATAGAAAGCCCAGAGATAAACACACACCTATGGTTACCTAATCTACGACAAAGGAGGCAAGAATATGCAATGGAGAAATGACAGCCTCTTCAATGCGTGGTGCTGGAAAAACTTGATAGCTACATTTTAAAGAAATGAAATTAGAACACTCCCTAACACCATACAGAAAAATAAACTCAAAATGGATTAAAGACCTGAATGTAAGGCCAGACACTATAAAACTCTAAGAGGAAAACACAGGCAGAACACTCTGACATATATTGCAGCAAGATTTTTTGACTTCCCTCCTAAAGTAATGAAAATAAAAACAAAAATAAATGGGACCTAATTAAACTCCAAAGTTTTTGCACAGCAAAGGAAACCATAAACAAAACAAAAAGACAACCCACAGAATGGGAGAAAATATTTGCAAATGAAGTAACTGACAAAGGATTAATCTCCAAAATATACAAACAGCTCATGCAGCTCAATATCAAAAAACAAAGAACACAATCAAAAAACGGGCAGAAGACCTTAATAGACATTTCTCCAAAGAAGATATACAGATGGCCAACAAACACAGGAGAAGATGCTCAACATCACTAATTATTAGAGAAATGCAAATCAAAACTACAATGAGGTATCACCTCACACGGGTCAGAACGGCCACCACTGAAATATCTACAAACAATGCTGGAAAGGGTGTGGAGGAAAGGGAACCCTCTTGCACTGTTGGTAGGAATGTAAATTAATACAGCCACTATGGAGAACAGTATGGAGGTTCCTTAAAAAACTAAAACTAGAACTACCATGTGACCCACAATCCAACTACTGGGCATATACCCAGAGAAAACCATAATTCAAAAAGATACATGCACCACAGTGTTCACTGCAGCACTGTTTACAATAGCCAGGACATGGAAGCAACCTAAATGCCCATCAACAGCAGAATGGATAAAGAAGATGTGGTACATATATACAGTGGAATATTACTCAGCCATAAAAAGGAATGAAATTGGGTCATTTGTAGAGACGTGGATGGACCTAGAGACTGTCATGTAAGTCAGAAAGAGGAAAACAAATACTGTATATTAACGTATATATGTGGAATCTAGAAAAATGGTATAGATGATCTTATATGCAAAGCAGAAATAGAGACAGATGTAGAGAACAAACGTATGGACACCCAAGTTGCCGCGGGGGGGTGAATTGGGAGATGGGGATTGACATATATATACTATTGATACTATGATAGATAACTAATGTTATCTATCATATCTATAACTAATGTAACTACTGTTTAGCTCAGCGAACTCTACTCAATGCTCTGTGGTGACCTAAATGAGAAGGAAATCCAAAAAAGAGGGGATATATGTATACGTATGCTGATTCACTTTGCTGTACAATAGAAACTAACACAACATTGTAAAGCAATAAAAATTTTTAAAAAATAGCCTCACATCACCAGGAGCAGGGTATATTACCCAGGTGAGCTAATAAAGGTATTCTATACCCCAGGTCTGAGCGACTGGTTTGAGGAGTGTGCCTACCTGAGAAAGAAGTCAAGAGAGAAGAAAGCAGAGCTGAAACTTGGAGAGAAAGCAAGGCCAAAAGACATCACTTGAGCTCCTAGAGCCAACCATGGCTTTTCTACAGCTGGACTTTGTCATGTGAGGCAATACATTTCCTTCTGTTCTTCAGCCAGTTTAAGCTGGATTTGTGATTCTTGTTGGTTCCTGAATAATACTTACCTTCATACTGCTTTTTTACTGTGTTTCCTATATCTGCAAATTTCCGGTCTTCAAATATTAGAAACTCATGGCGCTTTGCCAGAATGGTTAACTCCTTCATCACATCCAGAGTAAAATCATTCAAAATATCTACATGAGTCTTGAGCATGCAGATTCTGGGTCCTAAAGCATCTGCTAGCTGCAACAGCTCTCTGGACTCTGAAATATCAGCAGACAGGCACAGATTGGTCTCCTTCTTTTGCATAAGCCTGAGAAGCTTTGATGCAACTGGGTGGATCCCGGGCAGCTCTGCACGTGCACCAAAGCTTAGTTCTTTGGGTCCTTTCTTTACAGAAAGGAGAGAACCGCTATGATTAGCTGCCACAAAAACATTCTCCTGAATAAATCTCTTCACTCTCTCGACCATCTCAGCATCAATTTTTTTCTGTTGCTCAAGAATCTCCAGCATTTTGGACAATGTACACACTGAGTGGAGACGAATCCCATGTGCCTGCAACTTGTCCTTTCCTCCTTGCTCTCTGTCCAGCAGCACTATGGCATCAGTGACCTTCAAGCCCTCCTTCTGAAGAACCTCAACAGTTTCCAAAACACTAGATCCACTGGTGACAACATCTTCAATGATCAAACAGGTTTCTCCTCGATTAATAGCCCCTTCTACAAGACGCTTAGTACCTAGAAAAGAAAAAATTACGTTGACTCTGTTTTAAAGTTATATATTTCAGCCAACTCAAGATGTATCTTGCAGTATAAATTTGGCATGTATTTATGAAGAGGGAGATAATCGAAATTATATTTTCTGATAATCTACTTTGGAACTACTTTATTTTTAAAATTCCTAATGAATCTTCAATGTGCCACAATTACTGTTTTGTTCAGTGCCTATGTATTTCAAAATTGTCAAAGTTACATATACAGAACATTTTTAGTAAAACTGGCAAATTATTTAACGGTATAAAACATCATTTCATGTGTTTATGATCAAAATTTCAAATACAGGTTTTATTAAGGCAAGATCACCTAGGTCAATGAAAGTTATGAAACAAAGAATAGCCCAATATCATCAATGAAATCATTCCTTTTTCCATCAACAATTTCTTTATTCAAGATCAGCCAAACAACTGGCCTTCTGAGCACATAAATGCAGGAGGGAAAATATTCAACAACCACTGAGGTCAATCACCACAGCGTTATGAGCTATGTAATGTAATGTGACTAAACACACTTCCCCACTCCAACCCCTACTGCAGACTATTTTCAGATAATCTACAAACTGTAAATACTCAGGCTGTAGACTACACAGACTCATGGTTTAGAGATTCATTTTTACATTTTCCACTACCAAATTTCTTATTTTGAATCAGAATAGATATAGTGGGCATTTTGCCTACGTTCTGAACTTTCCACAGGTACTGTCTTTGCTCTTTCCCCAACTCCTTTCCTTCCCTTGCAGAATTGGCAAGTTTAACTGAATCATCTTACATGAGAACATGAGACTGCGAGTACTTATAGGTATATTTTTAAATTAATGATCTTATTCTAAGAAATATTTTTGAAGATACATAATAAGGAAATAGAAACAGTAGTCTTATGGCAGTGATTCATAGAGATAAACACTGTGCCGCTAAGTGGCAAAAACATTTGTCTAATTTTTTTATAATGGAGAATTTCAAACAAAACTAGACAAAATAGTATAACAAACCTCCACAAATACAGCACCTCACCACTTAGCAACTCATGGGCAATCTTGCTTCAACTATAACTCCAACATCACCCTCCCCCCATAATTTTTAGACGCAAATCCCAGACATCATATGATTTCATCATAAAATTTTTAGAACACATCTGTAAAAAGGACTCTTTTCAAAAAGAAGTAACAAAAACAGTATCACACCAACATAAAACAACACGAAAAAATCATTAGCACTTAAGATCATCAAATATGAAGTCAGTTCCAATACTTTTAGATTGATTTAGTTTTAATGCAGCCCACATTTAAAACACCCACCTGATAACCTACTGCCATGAACCCATAAAAACATCTTCATTTAGAATTTCATGTGGCATTTACTTTTTTTTTGGCCACCTGGACAGCTTGTGGGATCTTATTTCCCCAACCAGGGATCAAACCTGGGCCCCCTGCAGTGGAAGTGCAGAGTCCTAACCACTGGACTGCCAGGGAATTCCCTCACATTGCTTTAACAGATTAATTTTATTCATGCAATTTAAATATAAATACATTGGGAAAGTAAGTGCTCTTAGAACATTCTTCTGATGAGGGAAGCGCTGGTAAAAATGTTGGGTTTCATAAATTTGGTGCACAAAAAAAGCACTTTTTTCCATTGCCTAATTAATACAAAGCATTTCACCCCTAGACTCTAAAGGAAAGGGAGGTGATTTATAACAACAGTTAACAAATTCCACAGGCCATAACAACTTAAAGGCCCTATGAAGAATATTCAAGGTGACTATGAACATCAGTGCCTAGAAGAACAAATTCTAAAAGTATCAGGCTACATATCAACTTAAAGCTTATACTATTTTTACTTTACCATAATCCTTTGTTTCCTTCCTTCTAATAAGCATTGGAATTTGGTTGGTTGAACAGATAACCGTGGCCAATGGTAAAGCTGTATAAGGTACTCCACACACAGTATCAAAATTGATCCCTGCATTTTGGGCAGTTTGGAATAAAATTTCTGCAACCTGTAAGAAAACAACACATAACCCAATTATTATTATTACTATTTTAAGTGGTGTATAAATCATGTAACAACATAAAGACAGTAACAACCCAGCAAGGGAGAGTCTTAAACCTGATCAGAAAAATATAAATGCCTTTTTGTTAAGTTGTCCTCTCCACAAATCCCAGTTTACAAATATAAATATAAAAACAGAAGAATTAGCCTACTTAGCTAGACTCAGGGCTGCTCCAAGGGCAACATGGAATGTGTTAGGAAAGGCTATGATGTTCATCCTGAAGACTAAGGATGACCCCTAGGCTTCACAGTTTTCCTTAGTAATTCATTATGCTTGTCATGTCTAAACCTATCACCTGCTAGTTTTATTTTCCCAACAGGAGTCTTCAATTAAGAAGTTTCACAAGAGAAATTAAGAAAACAATTGCATTAAAAAGAATAAAACAGGGACTTCCCTGGCAGTCCAGTGGTTAAAACACCGCGCTTCCACTGCAGGGGGCACGGGTTCAATCCCTGGTCAGAGAACTAGGATCCCGCATGCTGCACAGCACGGCCAAAAAAAAAAAAAGAATAAAACACTTACAAATAAATTTAACCAAGGAAGTGAAAGACCTTTAACCAAGGAAGTGAAAGGCCTGTACACTAAAAACATAAGACATTGATTTTAAAAACAAACAAACTGAAGATGACATAAGTAAATGGAAAAATATTCCATGCTCATGGATCAGAAAAATTAAACTGTTAAAATGTCCATACTAGGGCTTCCCTGGTGGCGCAGTGGTTGAGAGTCCACCTGCCGATGCAGGGGACACAGGTTCGTGCCCCAGTCTGGGAGGATCCCACATGCCGTGGAGCGGCTGGGCCCGTGAGCCATGGCTGCTGAGCCTGCGCGTCCGGAGCCTGTGCTCCGCAACGGCAGAGGCCATGACAGTGAGAGGCCTGTGTACCGCAAAGAAAAAAAAAAAAAAGTCCATACTAAAAGCAATATACAGATTCAATGAAGTTTCTAAAAAATTACAATGGCACTTTTCACAGAAATGGAACAAACAATCCTAAAATTTGTATGGAACCACAAAAGACCCTGGATAGCCAAAACAATCTTGAGAAAGAAAAACAAATATGGAGGTATCATATTTCCTGATTTCAAACTATATTACAAAGTAATAGTAGTCAAAACACTATGGTATTGGCATAAATACAGACACACAGGTCAACAGAACAGAATAGAGAGCCCAGAAGTAAACCTACACATATATGTTCAATTAATTTACATCAAAGGAGCTAAGAATACACAAAGGGAAAAGGACAGTCTCTTCAACAAAATGGTTTTGGGAACACTAGACTACATCTTACACCATACACAAAAATTAACTCAAAATGGATTAATGACTTGAATGTAAGACCTGAAAACACAAACCTCCTTGAAGAAAACAGGTGGTAAGTTCCTTGACAATGGTCTTAACAATGATGTTTTAGACTTGACACCAAAAGCAAAGAAATAAAACCAAAAATAAACAAGTGGGAAGGTGGTTCTAGATGGTGGAGTAAGAAGATCCTGAACTCACCTCCTCTCATGGACACAACAAATCTACAACTACATTAAGAACAATTCCCTCCGAAAAGAACCTGAGAGCTAGGTGAACAGCTACTCCACAACAAAGGATAAAAGGGCACATGGAGATGGGCAGGAGAGTTAGAGACACAGTCTCGCCAAAAACTCCATCACTACTTCAGCAACCCATAACCAGGAGGGATCTCACAAATATGGAACTTCTCCCTGATGCTCCACATCAGTCACCCCAACCCCTGGGACCTACACCAGAGAGATGAGCACTCAAAACACCTGGCTTTGAAGACCAACAGGTGAAGACCAACAGGGCTTGGATCCAGGAAAACCATATGGATGTAGGGAATAGAGATCTGCTCTTAAATAGCTTGTGTGCAGACTCACTCACCCTGGGACCCAACACAAAAACTGCAGCCTGGGGAAGAGTAAGACGTGGAGATCACCTTCCTCCCCACAGATACACCAGAAATACATCTACACGTGGAACAACTCCTACAGAGCACCTGCTGAACGCTGGCAGAAGACCTCAGACCTCCCAAAAGGCAAGAAGCCCCCCACGTACCTGGTTAGGGCAAAAGAAAAAAATAAACAGAGACAAAAGGATAGGGACGGGACCTGCACCAGCGGGAGGGAGCTGTGAAGGAGGAAAAGTGTCCACACACTAGGAAGCCCCTTCGCGGGCGGAGACTGCGGGTGGCGGAGGGGGGAAGCTTCGGAGCCGCGGAGGAGAGCACAGCAACAGGGTGCGGAGGGCAAAGCGGAGAGATTCCAGCGCAGAGGATCAGGGCCGACCGGCACTCACCAGGCTGAGAGGCTTGTCTGCTCACCCGCCGGGGCAGGCGGGGCTGGAAGCTGAGGCTGAGGCTTCGGTCGGAGCGCAGGGAGAGGACTGGGGTTGGCAGCGTAAACACAGCCTGCAGGGGGTTAGTGCACCGCGGCTAGCCGGGAGGGAGTCCGGGGAAAAGTCTGGACCTGCCGAAGAGGCAAGAGACTTTTTCTTCCCTCTTTGTTTCCTGGTGTGCGAGGAGAGGGGATTGGGAGCGCTGCTTAGGGGAGCTCCAGAGATGGGCGCGAGCCGCGGCTAAAAGTGCGGACCCCAGAGACGGGCATGGGACGCTAGGGCCGCTGCTGCCGCCACCAAGAGGCCTGTGTGCGAACACAGGTCACTATCCACACCCTCCTTCCGGGGAGCCTGTGCAGCCCGCCACTGCCAGGGTCCCGGGATCCAGGGACAACTACCCCGGGAGAACGCACGGCGCGCCTCAGGCTGGCAACGTCACGCCGGCTTCTGCCGCAGCAGGCCCGCCCCGCACTCCGTGACCCCCCCCACCCCCCCCCCCCCCCGCCTGAGTGAGCCAGAGCCTCCGAATCAGAGGCTCCTTTAACCCCGTCCTGTCTGAGCAAAGAACAGACGCCCTCCGGCGACCTACACGCACAGGCGGGGCCAAATCCAAAGCTGAGCCCCTGGGAGCTGTGAAAACAAAGAAGAGAAAGGGAAATCTCTCCCAGCAGCCTCAGAAGCAGCGGATTAAAGCTCCACAATCAACTTGATGTACCTGCATCTGTGGAATACATGAACAGACAACGAATCATCCCAAATTAAGGAGCCGTGTGGATGAAAGGCTCTTGGTGCTGCAGCCAGGAGTTAGTGCTGTGCCTCTAAGGTGGGAGAGCCAACTTCAGGACACTGGTCCACAAGAGGCCTCCCAGCTGCACATATTATCAAACAGCGAAAATCTCCCAGAGATCTCCATCTCAACGCCAGCACCCAGCTTCACTCAACAACCAGCAAGCTACAGTGCTGGACATCCTATGCCAAACAACTAGCAAGACAGGAACATAACCCCACCCATTAGCAGAGAGGCTGCCCAAAATCATAATAAGTCTACAGACACCCCAAAACACACCACCAGACATGGACCTGCCCACCAAAAAAACAAGATCCAGCCTCATACACAAGAACACAGGCACTAGTACCCTCCACCAGGAAGCCTACACAACCCCCTGAACCAACCTTAGCCACTGGGGACAGACACTAAAAACAACAGGAACTACAAACCTTCAGCCTGCAAAAAGGAGACCCCAAACACAGTAAGATAAGCAAAATGAAAAGACAGAAAAACACACAGCAGATGAAGGAGCAAGACAAAAACCCACCAGACCTAACAAATGAAGAGGAAATAGGCAGTCTACCTGAAAAAGAATTCAGAATAATGATAGTAAAGATGATCCAAAATCTTGGAAATAGAATAGACAAAATGCAAGAAACAGTTAACAAGGACCTAGAAGAACTAAAGATGAAACAAACAATGATGAACAACACAATAAATGAAATGAAAAATACTCTAGATGAGATCAATAGCAGAATAACTGAGACAGAAGAACGGATAAGTGACCTGGAAGGTAAAATAGTGGAAATAACTAATGCAGAGCAGAATAAAGAAAAAAGAATGAAAAGAACTGAGGACAGTCTCAGAGACCTCTGGGACAACATGAAACGCACCAACATTCGAATAATAGGGGTTCCAGAAGAAGAAGAGAAAAAGGGACTGAGAAAATATTTGAAGAGATTATAGTTGAAAACTTCCCTAATATGGGAAAGGAAATAGTTAATCAAGTCCAGGAAGCACAGAGAGTCCCATACAGGATAAATCCAAGGAGAAATACGCCAAGACACATATTAATCAAACTGTCAAAAATTAAATACAAAGAAAGCATATTAAAAGCAGCAAGGGAAAAACAACAAATAACACACAAGGGAATCCCCATAAGGTTAACAGCTGATCTTTCAGCAGAAACTCTGCAAGCCAGAAGGGAATGGCAGGACATATTGAAAGCGATGAAGGAGAAAAACCTGCAACCAAGATTACTCTACCCAGCAAGGATCTCATTCACAATCGATGGAGAAATTGAAACATTTACAGACAAGCAAAAGCTGAGAGAGTTCAGCACCACCAAACCAGCTCTACAACAACTGCTAAAGGAACTTCTCTAGGCAAGGAACACGAAGGAAAAGACCTACAATAATGAACCCAAAACAATTAAGAAAATGGGAATGGGAACATACATATCAATAATTACCTTAAATGTAAGTGGACTATTGCTCCCACCAAAAGACACAGATTGGCTGAATGGATACAAAAACAAGACGCATATATTTGCTGTCTACAAGAGACCCACTTCAGACCTAGAGACACATACAGACTGAAAGTAAGGGGATGGAAAAAGGTATTTCATGCAAATGGAAACCAAAAGAAAGCTGGAGTAGCAATTCTCATATCAGACAAAATAGACTTTAAAATAAAGACTATTAGAAGAGACAAAGAAGGACACTACATAATGATCAAGGGATCGATCCAAGAAGAAGATATAACAATTGTAAATATTTATGCACCCAACATAGGAGCACCTCAATACATAAGGCAAATACTAACAGCCAT